AGACAACAAGTACCGAGCCCATGGCAGTCGTACGGCCAAAACACGAGGATAATCTGGAGATATGTGTATGGAACTGTGGTGGCTGGTCTCTCAAAGAGAACGAGAACTCTGACCTTTGGAAACATCTATTCAATCTCAGGAATGTGATATTTCTGCACTATGTGAAACTTCTTAAAGCCAAATGAGAACATTTCCCTTCCAGGATATATATGGTATACAAATAACAGGATGCGAACTCACGTAAATACAAAACGAGGCTCGGGGGCTGTTGGTGTTCTGATTGACCTAGAAATATTAGATTGTTTTAATAAAAGTGTTTTAGATGACTCTATTGATGACATTTTATGGATTTAGCAAGACTCTAAGCAAATAGATTTTAATTTGTGTTTACGTGTACGTTATCTTAGTCCTTTGGGATCATCATATTTGTGTGATCGGGAAGAGTTCTTTAACATCTTAAAAAGCCAGTTGTGCATGTATCAGAGTGAGAGGGCAATGTGAATACACATGGAGATTCCCATGCACGAATGGGCGAAAGTACCGACTACATCGAAGGTGTGGATTTTATCCCTGTATGGGATGTTGGTTTATTGAGAGATTTATTATGGATCATGTCTGTTAGACTTTCTTATAGATAGCAATGTGTGTTTGCTAAATGGTCGTGTAGGTAAAAACGACTTCACTTATGTAACCCACAAGGCAGATCGGTCATGGATTACATGTTGGTTCTCGTGAACAGCTACAGAATCTGATGGTTGCAGATTCCCAAGTAGAAACAATAACACAGGTTATCAACCATTATAGCGTTGTCATGCTACGATCCATCCTTGGCAATTCTGTCTTGAAATATACCTGGTCTTTGTCAGGATTTGTGAATATCAACAACATCCCAGGTATGGACATAAACTCTGAAACCATTAAATACAAACCTGCATTTAGATTGGATATCTAAATGGTATTTTATGTGTGTACCTAAAACTTATATAAAGCTGTAAAATCCACAATTGACACAGTGGAAAGAAAGTTAGTCACAGATGAACATATCGATTCAGCATACGATGAATTTCTACAGTTGACAATTGGAGAACTGGATGAACAAGTCCCAATAATAATCATTTCAAGCTTAGACCAAAGAATTATAAGTGGCACACAAAACCTATTGGAATGGAGTACTTCAGGGAAGTTGGGATAACATTCAAGTTGCCGAAAGACACTGGCTAAGTTCTAACCCTAGGAAAATAAAAATGAACGAGAATTTTCGAGCAACAAGAAGTACAAATGCCAGCATAAACGGCACAAACAAGATTATCTCCCTTGCATCCGCACTCGATTTGAATGTGGATGTTATTGACGATGTTATCATTTTTAACAAATATTTCTTACAGCAAATAAGGCGACAAACCCCTTTCCATATCCATATCCAATAGAAATCTCTGCATAAAGCAGAGTCGATTGTATGATTCCGACTATACCATGAGCATGTGTTTATGAATCGCTATCAAACGGCCAAACGTTTCAAAGCAATATCAAGAACTATACTCTCTAGTTGATACTGTGGGCTCTTACTGTTTGTAAATCCACCCATCAGCCAAAGTTGCCGGAGTTGTTAAATTTAGATTATAGTCTTGTTCTTGTGCAGTCCAAATGGTTCCTGAAGGAGAGGCAACAAATCTTCCAAACGAATGGTATCATTTGGCCCTCGTCCTTTCTTGTGACCATGGCTGCGTCGACGTCTTTGGGATGCCGGAAACAGACTCAATAAATTGACATTAGCAGTTCGTTGGTTTGAAAGACTGCCAGCATCCTTTATTTTGTCATTACATCCATATTGTATTGCTGTACACAACAGTCGAATCCAATGACTTTCTCTGGACATTCTATAAGGTCTTCTGCATTTAAGGCTATCAGAGGGATGGTATATTTCCGCCAATATCCTAACTTTTATGCAGAGGATTGAGTGATTTTCAGAATTGAAATGCTGGTTGACACAGTTGGAAATATTTCTGTTGATGCCCGATCTATGCTGGCTGACTCGTTTGTTGTTTGGTATGATACGTCTTCAAAAGGTCTTGTGCAGTTGTTCCTTGATTGTATAAAGGATTATGGTTAGTCTTTGAAACAGGGGTTTGGTGCTACATTAGCTGGACCAGGCAATATCTCTCTCTTTGGACGGATTTTTATGGAGCTTTGGAATCTAGTACAAAAGAGGAATGGACATGTCTTCAGGTTTTAGAGTCAAGTCAAAAGTTGACAGTACTGATTTATGGTTCAGCAGATTTCTTCCTCAGTTAACCGATTTTCTGTGATAGACAACCAGATGTGGTTTTAAGAACAAAGAATGATGGGAATTTAACACATGGCAATAAGCTCAGAACGTACAGAACTTTCGGTCAAGACAGAATGGCAGAGGAATATTTACAGTGTACTGTGTCCAGACACATGTGAAAGATACTTGCTAAATTGAGATGTGGCTCATTACCACGTGCATGTCGTTATACATTGCCGGTCACGCCTTCAGGTGCTCGACTTTGTTTTTAAGACTCTGGAAGATGAAACCCACCTCTTCATGGCCTGTCCTATGTATGACGATAATAGATATCAACTGTTCTGACATCATTGTATTCCTATTAACTTCGCAGATCTCATCTCAATAGAAAAAGTATTATGCTGTGTGCTGATATTCAAAATACGCAGAGATTACACAATTAAAAAGCAAAATATTAATGCGAAATTAGTCAGAAGTTCGCAACATGTTCTACAGCTGGTATTTATACATTGTACATCATGTATATATGTATGGATATGTGTAAGTATGTGTTTTGTTTATGTAAGTGGGAAGGAGAGTAAGGATGTTGGTGTGTGGGAGTGTGTCTGAACATCTGTGGTGTAGTTTTGTGTGGACTGGGGGTACTGGTTGGTGTGTGTGTGTGTAAGAGGATCGGACGGGGGTGGGGTGGAAGTAATTGGTGTGTAGGGTGCGAGAGTCTGCTTTTGGGTATTGTGGATGGGGACGATGGTATGTGTGTAAATGTTAATGTTGGGGAGGTGGGGAATGCGCCTGCGTTGGAATAGTGTTGGGGTTTGGGGTGGGATGGTATTGGGGTGTGAGTGTCGGGATATGCATGTGTGTGGGTGCATATGATTGAACATAAGCGTGTTGGTGTTTTGGTATGGGATTGCCGGCGACACTGTGACGCTCTTTATACTTTTCGTCTTGAATCTGATTTTTGTAATTAACTTGTGCTTGTTTGTGTATTAAAATTAATATATAACCAGGTGTATTAAGACTAGATGTGTGAATGTGGTTTTTATAACCAAATATCAGCTGTAAATAATGGAATCTGGACCGGACAATCCAGGGTTTGACAGATTCGCAACGACTACAGTGTATGGTGATCAAAATTGATTTTTAGACGTGTTTTTTCTTCAGTCAGTGTTTCAAAACATGTGGTTGTTTTCTCTGGAAGGAGGAGCCAAACAGTTTTGTTTGTGCCCCAAATTCATATGTTACAGAAGATCTCTATGTCAAGTCTTTAGCCGGCTGTTTATTCGTGAATCTTTTCTTGAATGTTTTGATGTTAGCCTGAATGACACGTCTGAAAACAAAGAGTGAACCGTTGTACAGTAATAATAGTGCCTGTTGTCAAATCTGACATAGATGTTACACAAATGTTCACACAGCCTGATATTGCAGCGTAAACGTCAGTGCCAATTATGACCACCATCTTCCTGTACCCCAGTTCTGCAAGGCCTTCCCATTGAATGATGAGTCGTTGAATTCGATTCTGCGGTAACGTTTGAGGCGGCGGTTGGCGTTGTAAGACAAGGCGAACCTGTCTCCCTTCTGTGTGGTGGAACGCTGTCGATCACCAGCATGTCACTGGGTAGCTGATCCAAACATCTGGTATCGATTCCTTACCTGCTGATCTCGTTTTGGCTAACATCAAAGACGTCTGCAACGTGACGTTGTGTTGACCCAGTTTCAAGCATGCCTATACATCTGCCTAATTCTTCTGCGTCAAACGAAGTCTTTGACGCAGTGGGGGCATAAGTGCAATCAGTTGTTGCAGTCCTCTGTAGCAAAAGTTTTGCTCTCTGATAGTGATGTGAAACGATTCTGTCCGTTCATCATGAAACTGAGGTCCTGTAGGGGATATCCAATCACTGATGATATTTCGTCGATGATTTTTATCTACAGTAAACTACGTTTATAACGAACACGCTCTTAACGAACTTACCGATATAGCGAACTTATTTTTAGTCCCGGTCATTTGTTGCATGTATGCAGTATATATGCTTATAACGAACTACGGTTATTACGAACTAAAGTTAGTGGTCCCTTTGAGTTCGTTATAACCGTAGTTTACCGTATATCAAAACTTTATCCTCAGGAAACCTTGTATATTTATGTGTATGTATATATAGCAGGTGTGCCAGATGTCAACGGGAGGAGAGACCACACGTCAGTCAAAGTATCCAGGTTTGACATGAAAGACATTCCTGTAGATTTTCTAATGTCCCGTGATTGGAAAGCTAAATAAGAAGCAATAATGTCTGATTTGGATAAAGACGTTAATAATCAAGCTGACATTGATATCATTCGTGATGAAAGGGAAGCAAAGTTGAAATGTAGGAAAGTTTTGTTGAATTCATATTAAAACAACTTGAGACGCCCTACAGAGAAAGCATGGTGGAATGAGGAATTTGGTAAAACATCAGCATCAGACAGAGCATATTGTGGACAATCGCCTGGAGAAGATGAAATTCCTCTATAACTCTTAAGATCACAGACTATTGACTCACAATGTACCATGACTCACAATGATACAAGTGACAGAACCCCTTCCCCTTGGCAGTAGCCACTAATAAGACAAGCAGGGTTACAGTGGCATATCTACTCCCCGAGGTATGCTGGGCTATATAAAATTCCGAAATCTTGGGGAGAACTTCCTTCTCGTATACCATTATTATATCAATGAAATCAGTAACAAGTAAAAAGGCATGTTTTCTTCATCCATATTTTAATGATGCCATTTCATTTAAAACTGCTTTTTTCACATTGCTTTTATGAAATGATTGATAAAACAACATGTTGCTGAAGTCAAAATGATTGTATCAAATATGCACTTGGTATGGTATATAAAATATATCAACAGCTATATTGAAATATAAATGATTATATATATGGCGTAAACATCATATATACTATTGACATATCCCTTTTGGGTTGTCCTTGTGATTTCTCTTCAAAAGTGCTGCTGCTTCGTTAAACAACATTCACTCACTCACTTGGGAATTCAACACGTGTGAACCGTGTGATGTAAATGGGACAGAAGCCGTTACAAAGTAAGAATGTAAGACATTGAGCAGATGATTTAGCAGTCGTCGAGTTTTGTGCCATCATGATCACATTTCTATTAAAGCAACTTAATGGGTCTGGAGGTCAGGCTCCGTGGCTTGGTTGATGACATGTCATCGTACTCCTCTGGAGCGGATTGTTGCTGATATCAATCACTGGCCTGTTTCTTCCAGACTCGAGTATTTTCAAGCCGCCGTCATACAGTAATAGTGTTGCGGCGTAAAACAACAAAGAAACAAGGTTGCAGTTGACGATCACTGCAGTCTCCACATGAAGGCCTCTTCTATTATATCAGCTAGTACCATATATTTCCCAGTGAAGCTGTGGATCTGCCGTCTTCATATCTTCATATATAGCTTTCATGGTAACACCCTGTTCAACACATAGCTTAGGGTCTATATGTATATTGTCTGGAATCACAGGGTGTCTTGCAAGTAACATGGTGAGCACACGGACTTCACCTTGCTCCACCACCACACCTGGTGACCCCGACGCCCCATATGTCAAGGAGCAGTGGAACTGCAGGAAGGAAGGGTTTTTTCCAAATGTATCATAGACGTTCAGGAGTTCCGGCGGGATCTTGCTCTTCAACAATTCTATTTTCATCTTTTTAAACTCGTATTCCTCAGTGATGGTGTAACAGTTGTGGTCTCTGTAGAGGGTCAAGCCTCCTGTATGACCTAGGAAGTTGAAGAAGCCTTTGTGGTTACTCAGGAACCGTGTGAATGCTTGTGGAAACTTTCCGTCCATGGACGGTGCCAGTTCTACTACAGCAGTATCCAGTTGTATATTAACATAACGCAAAGTCTTGAGTTGGAATACTCTTATAACATTGTCCTCATGGGTGAAAAGTACTGACAGTCCGTTTGTGACCAACCGCTTTTGTATTTCAGATTGCGTGGATGATGTTTCCTGAAGTTTTCGTATCTCTTCATCTGTTATTCCTGCAGTAAATAAACAAAATGTGTGTTACACTATGTTATCTACATGTTTGTAACCAATCAGGTATAGTCATGGGTACTGTAGTTTCAGGGGAGATGGCGAAAATAAAATAGAATTGTTAAATGCTACCATATGAAGTCATTGGTTGATATTCACAGTGCCAATCCTCGATTTCTCAGTGTATTCATTCATGGAAATCGAAATATGGTAAACGACTTTCAGTATGTGTTTCTTACCAAGAGCTTCTTTCAAGACATGCGCGGCTGTCATTATGCATCCATCACCAACCATGAAGCCGGTGCCATTGGTCTTAATTGAGCAGACAGATTCAGCAGCACGGTCAAGCAGGCGCATATCACTAGCTTTTTCGACATCTATACCATAGTTGCCTTTGCCAAGAGCACCTGGAATATTTCAAAATTGATACACAATATAAATAATCACAGTATACGGCTACTAATGCCACGTGATTAACCATTTCTTGGTAGGTCGCAATGAATTATTTGTTTTAAATCAAGTACTCTAATCCTGAAAAACTAAAACGACCAAACAGCGGGACTTGTTTTCAGTGAAGCTAATCATACCTTGCCCAAGGTAAGTATCGACCCATTCCCAATTTTCAAAATCACAATATATCAACACTATCACGGCGGGGCACCCATGTGGAGAATCGAACCCGGGTCTTCGGTGTGGCGAGCGAATGCTTTAACGACTCGGCTGTCCCACCGCCCTGATGTAGAAAGCCCACCCTCACTTGTACATTGTCATGATAGAAACATTGTCGCCAATGTGTAATTATGAATGTAAAATATAAACAGACAATGGCGGCGAATATGACGTTAACACTGTATGGAAAGTAACAAGAATCAGTTTCATCAGTACACAGTGTTTGCTTGTGCATGTATTGGAACTTGATACATGAGAAAGATGAGAAATATTTTCATTTCCAAAACTACATCAACATAGGAGTGAGTGAGTGAGTGAGTATGGTTTAACGCCGCTTTTAGCAATATTCCAGCAATATCACGGCGGGGGACACCAGAAATGGGCTTCACACATTGTACCCATGTCGGGAATCGAACCCGGGTCTTCGGCGTGACGAGGAAACGCTTTAACCACTAGGCTACCCGACCGCCCCCATCAACATAGGAAAGCGGTGAGTTATAGAAGTATGTCAGCTTACTGTTGTAGGAAATCCCGAAGTGATGCAGTTGCTTACAACTATGCTGAAATCCAGCACGGGTATTGTGCTACCAACTAGGGATGCGCATTGGGGAAGAGAAAAAGCTCGTCTTACCTGGAAATAGTTTATTACTTGTGGCTTTCTTTGCATCAGAACCGTGGGGTGCTGCTCCACCAGATTTGGGCGCTGCAGAAGCATATTCCTGCACAAAGGACAGAATCTTGTTAATCAAGAAACTCAACATTCCGGACGATCTGGTTGTGTCTGTGTTAATGGTGATAACGCGAAGCTCTCACGATTTCAAACACCAGCTTTGTCGCACGACCGATTGTCGCTGGAGGGGTAATATTACGGATCCCGAGAAGTATAGGTAATATATATTTAATCTAACAATAGTTCAGGCATAAACACATGTATCATATACTACATTAATATAGCTGTGAAAGACGAAAACCACGAGGGTTTTATAGGGTGGGTCAGTTCACAGATTTCGGTCTGAGTGGACGGGTGAGATCCGATCTGGTTCTTGTCGTCTTCGAGGAATGAGTGAGTGAGTGAGTTGGGTTTAACGCTGCTTTTAACAGACGTGAGTATTCAAGTTATATCGCGGCGTGCCAGCTTAATGTGGGAGGAAAGCCCGAGGTGATGCAGATCTCAGACGTTTACCACTTCGGTGAAACCCACGAGCACGGGTATGGTGCTGACATACCTAGAAACATTATACGGCGAACCGGGATTCGAATCCACAATCATAGGTTCCCGGCGTGCCTAAGGGACGCAACTCTGCACAGCGAATCGCGGCGCCTAAGACGACTGGGCCACCCGTGCCCCTCCTTCGATGAATGATAGCTTATCGAAATAATAACACTGCAAGATAATGTCACGTTGGACTAATACGAAATTAGGACACGTATCGGAAATATCGGAGTTATCAATAACTACAATGACTTCCGGATTAACGTTTCCCTGTGTGTGTTTGTGTGTGTGTGTGTGTGTGTGTGTGTGTGTGCGCGTGTGTGTGTGTTATCGTGTGTGTGTGCGTGTGTGTGTGTGTTAGCGTGTGTGTGTGTGTGTGTGTGTGTGTGTGTTAGCGTGTGTGTGTGTGTGTTAGCGTGTGTGTGTGTGTTAGCGTGTGTGTGTGTGTGTGTGTGTGTGTGTGTGTGTGTGTGTGTGTGTGTGTGTGTGTGTGTGTGTGAGCGTGTGTGTGTGTGTGTGTGTGTGTGTGTGTGTGTGTGTGTGTGTGTGTGCTTATTTGTTGTTTAACACTGCATGAGCACTGGTACTTATTATCCCCTGACAGCATCCTCAGTTCTCCATGTATGATATATGATGTGAAGAAAATCTAAATATTTTTCGTGTGTATGGTGAGTAAACTGTAAAGTTGACCACCTGTTTGAACCGGTCTTGTGTTGGACCGAAGGTTTAGTCTGGGTTTGAAAGAGGTGCGTATTATCAAGAAATCATGTGTGTACTTGTTGTTTAAAGCCGCACTAAGCAATATTACAGCTACATGGCGGCGGCCAGTATATGGAATCTGGATCAGACAATCCAGTGATTAATATCACAGTGAGCCACGATCCACGACTTCGGGGTACGTTGGCATATCATTAACAAACTCACCGATGCTGACCACCCGATCCATTCGGTCGCCTCTTACGACAAGCAGGCTAGGTTGGAGTCCCAATTTCCTCAGTGTAGCAACAAAACTCAAGGCCAGTGACTCAATGCTAAACATGTAACGAGGTTTCATTTGTACTAGGTACTTACTGCGTCTAAGCCCCGGTGAACCTCTTGAGTGGATCCTCTAGGCGTTCTACTTGGGAGGTTACAGGGTGTGTCTGTAACTGGAAGTAAATAATGTAATAAATGTGCATTTTTGACATTGTGGATGCACGGCCACTTCAGTTTATTTGTAGGTTAAGATTATTACACTACTAACAGAAATGTTTTACTTTACTAAGAGCTGTATCAGGGGCGCTGGGGTAGCCTAGTGGTTAAAGCGTTCGCGAAGTCCATGTCTGGTGTCCCCTCCCATGATATTGCTAAAAACAGCATATAACCATGCTCATTCACCCACATGAAAACTCCATTCATTTTATCTGAGGAGGTCAGTTTGAAAAATGCTTGCATCACGGTGTAAGATGTTTTCATTGTCACATATTGAAGAAAGTTAGGTAACATGGAGAAAATTATGGTTTAATTAAATACAAATATAATAAGCAAAGCGGAATAAAGCGATCACCATTGATTCCTGACTCCGACCTTTCCACCTCTAAAATATTATACCCAACCGACACCACACAACTCATCCCTTGTTCTAAAACGAAAGCATTTTGTCATTTCGTCATGTGAGAGTGCTACTCCGATTCGAAACCCGCATTTGCTCCATATTTGAAACCTCAATCTGACGCGTTCGGTTTCAAATAAAATGTATAGCTATGTGGAAAAGGCCAATGTTGACACATTATTTGGAGTAGAAACTTGGCCACAGGTATACACGTAAGCCCGTATTTTAGGAAGTTCACAGAGTGCTAGATTCCTATGGAATCCAGATATGCCCCGATTAGGAGGGAGTTCGTTGCCTCATAGATATTGTTTCGTATAATTTAAGGTTTCCACACATTTATGAATTATATCACTTCTTGGAAGACATAACACCAAGTTCCAAACTGATAACTGCATCCGTTTTCGAGAAGTCGACAAGGCAATTTGACAGGGTGTGAGAAACTGCAAGCATGAAGAAACCTGAAAAACGAGCTGTCATTAAATACCCGCATGGAAACGGCATGTCACCAGAGGAAATTCACGAAGATAAAAACTCACGCTTGGAACCCTTCATTTACAAGTGATAAGAAATAAGCGTGGCAAAAGTGGTACAGACAATGGCCTTAGGCCTGGTCGTCCTAAGAATGCCACGTCTGAAGCTTAAGTCTATAGAATGGTTGTGGCTGACCGACGTGTTATAATTCATCATATCACAGACACCTCTGGGAGTCAGTTTTGGGTCAATACAATCCATATTGACCGAAACTCTCCACATGAGCTAATGGATGAGCAGATGGATTCCAAGGATGTTGACGCCAGATCCTGATAATTCAGTTTGTGAATTGGTAGCCCAGCATGAAACCTATGTCAACCACTTTGATCCAGTGGAAATACATAGCCTCATCTTTACCACGGAGGTACAAGCGGGTGGCGTTCGTGACCTCGGTTTTCTGGGAGAGATAGGGAATAATCATGACTGACTATCCGCAGCGAGGTCAGACAATCAATAGGCAATATTATGCCATACAACTGCGTCATTTGAGAGAACTATCAAGTGAAAGCGTGGAGGAAAGTTCCATTCAGGTGTGACTACGTGCCTGTGAACCTCCTGCAACTGCAGAGCGTGTCTTTGACTTGTTTCACCGTGTCCTTACCATCCTGACCCACCAACCTCCGACTTTTATCTCTCTCCAAAACTCAAAACACATCTGTGTAATAGAGACAGTAACGGCGGGATGATTGTTGCGTCTATGTTCGTCGATTTCACCACAGTTGAAAATGTATTAGACCTGCATCACTTCAGACTTTCCTCCCACATGAAAGCTGACGCGATCGTACATAACAGAAATACGGTCATGGGCAAATTTTATCTCTAACGCACAATGAATATTAGGAAATGAAACAATAAACGTACCGTTATGTTTCCGAAAGTCTTTCAGGTCACTAACTAAGTCCATCCGATCCATATCACCCAGAAAAGTCTCCAGTTTGACCATAAAATTAGTAGGCTTCAACTGTTCCAGTACAGTCAGCAAATCAAAAGCATTTTTGATTTTCCCCTGCTTTTGTTTTCCTATTATGTCCCCAAAATAAAACTTTGCCTTTTCAACTTCTTCTGGTGTCAAATTCTGCGCTATCTCAAATAAGGCCAGTCTGAAAAGGAAGTATAATACGCTTGTCAATATGTATTTTCTTAATGATATCCTCTCTCCAACATTCCTTTCTCTCTTCCGCCTACCGTTCTGATTCATTTGAAGATTCTTATTGGGCAATACTATATAATGATTGATTCATGTAAATTCAACACGGTAGAAACATTTCTATAGTACGACACTATAGATTGATTCCTCTCTATGATTCAACATGGCTACATTATACAATGATTCTTCTTGGACTACATTATACAATGCTTACTTTAGGATCACAGTTTCCAATTATTTCTCTGTGGAAACATTTAACAATGATTCCTTTTGGGCTACATTATATAATGCTTACTTTAGGATCACAGTTTCCAATTATTTCTCTGTGGAAACATTTAACAATGATCCCTCTTGGACTACATTATACAATGCTTACTTTAGGATCACAGTTTCCAATTATTTCTCTGTGGAAACATTTAACAATGATCCCTCTTGGACTACATTATACAATGCTTACTTTAGGATCACAGTTTCCAATTATTTCTCTGTGGAAACATTTAACAATGATTCCTTTTGGGCTACATTATACAATGCTTACTTTAGGATCACAGTTTCCAATTATTTCTCTGTAGAAACATTTAACAATGATCCCTCTTGGACTACATTATACAATGCTTACTTTAGGATCACAGTTTCCAATTATTTCTCTGTGGAAACATTTAACAATGATCCCTCTTGGACTACATTATACAATGCTTACTTTAGGATCACAGTTTCCAATTATTTCTCTGTGGAAACATTTAACAATGATTCCTTTTGGGCTACATTATATAATGCTTACTTTAGGATCACAGTTTCCAATTATTTCTCTGTGGAAACATTTAACAATGATTCCTTTTGGGCTACATTATATAATGCTTACTTTAGGATCACAGTTTCCAATTATTTCTCTGTGGAAACATTTAACAATGATTCCTTTTGGGCTACATTATATAATGCTTACTTTAGGATCACAGTTTCCAATTATTTCTCTGTGGAAACATTTAACAATGATCCCTCTTGGACTACATTATACAATGCTTACTTTAGGATCACAGTTTCCAATTATTTCTCTGTGGAAACATTTAACAATGATCCCTCTTGGACTACATTATACAATGCTTACTTTAGGATCACAGTTTCCAATTATTTCTCTGTGGAAACATTTAACAATGATCCCTCTTGGACTACATTATACAATGCTTACTTTTGGATCACAGTTTCCAATTATTTCTCTGTGGAAACATTTAACAATGATTCCTTTTGGGCTACATTATATAATGCTTACTTTAGGATCACAGTTTCCAATTATTTCTCTGTGGAAACATTTAACAATGATTCCTTTTGGGCTACATTATACAATGCTTACTTTAGGATCACAGTTTCCTATTATTTCTCTGTGGAAACATTTAACAATGATCCCTCTTGGGCTACATTATACAATGCTTACTTTAGGATCACAGTTTCCTATTATTTCTCTGTGGAAACATTTAACAATGATCCCTCTTGGACTACATTATACAATGCTTACTTTAGGATCACAGTTTCCAATTATTTCTCTGTAGAAACATTTAACAATGATCCCTCTTGGACTACATTATACAATGCTTACTTTACGATCACAGTTTCCAATTATTTCTCTGTGGAAACATTTAACAATGATTCCTTTTGGGCTACATTATATAATGCTTACTTTAGGATCACAGTTTCCAATTATTTCTCTGTGGAAACATTTAACAATGATCCCTCTTGGACTACATTATACAATGCTTACTTTAGGATCACAGTTTCCAATTATTTCTCTGTGGAAACATTTAACAATGATTCCTTTTGGACTACATTATACAATGCTTACTTTAGGATCACAGTTTCCAATTATTTCTCTGTGGAAACATTTAACAATGATTCCTTTTGGGCTACATTATACAATGCTTACTTTAGGATCACAGTTTCCTATTATTTCTCTGTGGAAACATTTAACAATGATCCCTCTTGGACTACATTATACAATGCTTACTTTAGGATCACAGTTTCCAATTATTTCTCTGTGGAAACATTTAACAATGCTTCCTTTTGGGCTACATTATACAATGCTTACTTTAGGATCACAGTTTCCAATTATTTCTCTGTGGAAACATTTAACAATGATCCCTCTTGGACTACATTATACAATGCTTACTTTAGGATCACAGTTTCCAATTATTTCTCTGTAGAAACATTTAACAATGATCCCTCTTAGACTACATTATACAATGCTTACTTTAGGATCACAGTTTCCAATTATTTCTCTGTAGAAACATTTAACAATGATCCCTCTTGGACTACATTATACAATGCTTACTTTAGGATCACAGTTTCCAATTATTTCTCTGTGGAAACATTTAACAATGATCCCTCTTGGACTACATTATACAATGCTTACTTTAGGATCACAGTTTCCAATTATTTCTCTGTGGAAACATTTAACAATGATCCCTCTTGGACTACATTATACAATGCTTACTTTAGGATCACAGTTTCCAATTATTTCTCTGTGGAAACATTTAACAATGATTCCTTTTGGACTACATTATACAATGCTTACTTTAGGATCACAGTTTCCTATTATTTCTCTGTGGAAACATTTAACAATGATTCCTTTTGGGCTACATTATACAATGCTTACTTTAGGATCACAGTTTCCTATTATTTCTCTGTGGAAACATTTTACAATGATTCCTTTTGGACTACATTATACAATGCTTACTTTAGGATCACAGTTTCCTATTATTTCTCTGTGGAAACATTAAACAATGATTCCTTTTGGGCTACATTATACAATGCTTACTTTAGGATCACAGTTTCCTATTATTTCTCTGTGGAAACATTTAACAATGATCCCTCTTGGACTACATTATACAATGCTTACTTTAGGATCACAGTTTCCAATTATTTCTCTGTGGAAACATTTAACAATGATCCCTCTTGGACTACATTATACAATGCTTACTTTAGGATCACAGTTTCCTATTATTTCTCTGTAGAAACATTTAACAATGCTTCCTCTTGGACTACATTATACAATGCTTACTTTAGGATCACAGTTTCCAATTATTTCTCTGTGGAAACATTTAACAATGATCCCTCTTGGACTACATTATACAATGCTTACTTTAGGATCACAGTTTCCAATTATTTCTCTGTGGAAACATTTAACAATGATCCCTCTTGGACTACATTATACAATGCTTACTTTAGGATCACAGTTTCCAATTATTTCTCTGTGGAAACATTTTACAATGATTCCTTTTGGACTACATTATACAATGCTTACTTTAGGATCACAGTTTCTTATTATTTCTCTGTGGAAACATTTAACAATGATTCCTTTTGGGCTACATTATATAATGCTTACTTTAGGATCACAGTTTCCAATTATTTCTCTGTGGAAACATTTAACAATGATCCCTCTTGGACTACATTATACAATGCTTACTTTAGGATCACAGTTTCCAATTATTTCTCTGTGGAAACATTTAACAATGATTCCTTTTGGGCTACATTATACAATGCTTACTTTAGGATCACAGTTTCCAATTATTTCTCTGTGGAAACATTTAACAATGATCCCTCTTGGACTACATTATACAATGCTTACTTTAGGATCACAGTTTCCAATTATTTCTCTGTGGAAACATTTAACAATGATTCCTTTTGGGCTACATTATATAATGCTTACTTTAGGATCACAGTTTCCAATTATTTCTCTGTAGAAACATTTAACAATGATCCCTCTTGGACTACATTATACAATGCTTACTTTAGGATCACAGTTTCCAATTATTTCATTGTAGAAACATTTAACAATGATCACTCTTGGACTACATTATACAATGCTTACTTTAGGATCACAGTTTCCAATTATTTCTCTGTGGAAACATTTAACAATGATCCCTCTTGGACTACATTATACAATGCTTACTTTAGGATCACAGTTTCCAATTTTTTCTCTGTGGAAACATTTAACAATGATTCCTTTTGGGCTACATTATACAATGCTTACTTTAGGATCACAGTTTCCAATTATTTCTCTGTGGAAACATTTAACAATGATCCCTCTTAGACTACATTATACAATGCTTACTTTAGGATCACAGTTTCCAATTAGCTCTCTGTAGAAACATTTAACAATGATCCCTCTTGGACTACATTATACAATGCTTACTTTAGGATCACAGTTTCCAATTATTTCTCTGTGGAAACATTTAACAATGATCCCTCTTGGACTACATTATACAATGCTTACTTTAGGATCACAGTTTCCTATTATTTCTCTGTGGAAACATTTAACAATGATCCCTCTTGGACTACATTATACAATGCTTACTTTAGGATCACAGTTTCCAATTATTTCTCTGTGGAAACATTTAACAATGATCCCTTTTGGACTACATTAAATAATGCTTACTTTAGGATCACAGTTTCCAATTATTTCTCTGTGGAAACATTTAACAATGATCCCTCTTGGACTACATTATACAATGCTTACTTTAGGATCACAGTTTCCAATTATTTCTCTGTAGAAACATTTAACAATGCTTCCTTTTGGACTACATTATACAATGCTTACTTTAGGATCACAGTTTCCTATTATTTCTCTGTGGAAACATTTAACAATGATCCCTCTTGGACTACATTATACAATGCTTACTTTAGGATCACAGTTTCCAATTATTTCTCTGTGGAAACATTTAACAATGATCCCTCTTGGACTACATTATACAATGCTTACTTTAGGATCACAGTTTCCAATTATTTCTCTGTGGAAACATTTAACAATGATCCCTCTTGGACTACATTATACAATGCTTACTTTAGGATCACAGTTTCCAATTATTTCTCTGTGGAAACATTTAACAATGATCCCTCTTGGACTACATTATACAATGCTTACTTTAGGATCACAGTTTCCAATTATTTCTCTGTGGAAACATT